TTGTCGCCATCAAATCGCCAACAAGTCGCCAAGGAGTGGCACTCACAGGTATCGAGCATGTAAAGGTCGTTGAGCCCCCGACAGACCCATCCGTGCCACCGAAGACGAACAGCCTGCTGCCCACCACCGTGCTCGTGTGGCTGTCGCGCGGCGACGGCGGCGTGCCCTTGATGTTTGGCTTGCTCCACGCGTCCTTGGCTGGACAGAATCAAGGGTGGATGGAGGGAATGGCAAGAGGGAGTGAACGATGGTGTTGAGCCGGCTCATAACTGTCGCGAGGCGACGGCGGCGTGCCCTTGATGTTCGGCTTGCTCCAACGCGTCCTTGGCCGCGAGTCCCGGACAGAAAGGGAAGGGGAAAAGGGGGAGCGGGAGGGAATGGCGAGCATGATTGACGCGTGTTGAGACGCCTCAAAACTCTTGCGACGCAAAGGCAGAGAACCCTTTATCTTCCGCTTGCTCCACGCTAGAGAATACCAAAAGGCCATGACAGACAGACATAGCCACCAGCCCGGCCGCGACTGTCACGGAGATTTCGAAAGGGAAAGGGAACAGGGAAATACCACGCAGGAGCACGAAGTAACGCGGTTGACTCGACAACGCATACTACGAGAGGAAGTTGGGCCGACCTTGGAACAGCAAATGTCGCCGAGGGAAAACGTCTATATGAGGCAGTTTATACCGTCGCGTGGCCTAAAGCACGGGGTCATGAACGAACACAAAACGTCTGCGAAAAGGCCAGGAAACACTTTGTCATGATCTCGTCGTAACACCTGAGTCCGAAGTCCCGCATTGTTACGATCCTGCCTCTGCATTCCCGCATTGCCACGATCCGGTTAACGCCTCTGCATTTCCGCATTGTCACGATCCAGTTAACGCCTCTGCATTCCCGCATCCTAACCATCCCGTTATACTCCAGCCTCCCCGCGTCGTCGTGATCGCGTTGAACGCCTCTGCCTGCCCGCATTGTAATGATCTCGTAACGATCGAGCCTCCCCGCATTGCAATGGAAGATTTGCTCCTAAGACGAGTCCTTGGAAAAAAACATAAAAACACGACGCGAGGAAGCTAGACCGGAAAGACGACTTCACGATGATCGTACTTGTGTTGTACACGTAGACGTCGTTCGTCTGCCGCTCGTCCTTGCCATAGCCTCCGAACACGTACACCTGACGACCATAGTTGACGGCATTTAGCGTATGACCCCATTTCCTCCCTGGTCCGTGCTTCCACCTTTCTCCCCGGCGATTTGCCTGGGATGGGCTCTTGACGCTTTACCTTTATCTCTATTTTCTCCCAGTGCATCTTTGCAACAACCTAGTTCCCAAAATATCAACTTTCCAAAAAAAAAATGCTCTTAGCAGTAGATGTTAGGATCTACAGAAAGGCGGATAGTCGGAAATAATGGCACTAATGGCTGCACAGGTGGCACGAAGATATTGGCCAGCGACAATCAATATTGCGAGCTTGGTTGACGGAGTTATCAATTGTAATTCGAGCGGGATTGTGCCACTCTAGAGCCAGTTAGGAGAAACAAATGTTCGCTTGAGGCAGAAATGCTCTCAGCTAGATTAGAGAGATGAAGAGAAGGGGTGAAGATGGTGAAGATAATTCCAAGGAGCGGATATTGTAATGGTGCATTTTGATTGGTTCGTTTCAGTTTGAAACCCTAGGCTTTCCAGGTTTGGCGTTGATCGGAAAACGGAAAATGGAAAATGCGGATAGTTTCGACAGTGTTGTTCATTCGCATTCCACATGACGCTTGATCGATTCTGTTTCCGAAGAAGCTAGTAACGAGCCTTCGTCGGCGCCAAACTTTTCTCAAGGTTTGTTGGCAGGAACCGTAGTGTAACGGCTGCATACCGTCTCAAACCTCTCAAACAAGGTAGCCTATCACGACTGTTGGGTTGCTGTTTGTGCTGTTATCGCATCAGACATAACGAGTACAATTGTGTCATTGCGGCAGCTCAGACGCTTTCCAACCCCCCAGGCAGTTTACAAAGTACGTGCAGAAACTTCACTCAAAAGATTAGGAGGTGGTAAAGGAATTTGACAGAAACCACACATGGCGCTCCTCTCCTGCTTCCACTCGCTGAGAACCGTTTCGCAGTTTTGTCGCGTTCGTCTTCTCCTTCCGCGGACCACGCGACTCGTTCCGCTTATTCTCCTCTCAGTTCTCGCTCTGTCGTCAATCTCGAGGGTCTCCTGTATTACATCAACCGCCGACGATGACCATTCATCCCGCGCCACTAAAGCTGCATCTCAAGATCCTGACCGTTCAAAATATTTCTCAGATTCACCAGGAGACGATGATGCTTCGCGCGTGTGCCGCAAGTTGGTGGAGCCGCACGGCTTCACGTGCGAGGATCACCGTGTGAGTGTAACGAACGCTCGTTGTACGAGGAATTTCTCTCAACCGTGTGAGAGTAACGAGAAGGACGGTCTTGCGAAGGTTATTTGTCATAAATTGCTGAGGTAATTCGTGCAGCAGGAACTTGGTTTCATTGATTGTTCTTGCAAGGTCTCTGAGAAAAATTCCCTCTAGAATTTGTTCCGGCTTCGCATATCAAGTTTCTCACCTGCCGGTCTGCCGTACAATATCCGTTCTCCTCGGATTCATACCTGAGAACTGTAGCTACTTGAAATCCGTGTACACATGGATAATGGCTTACAATATTATCATATCTAATGATTCCCCTCTGGAGTTTTGGACAGTCCTGATAATGATACGCTATCACTTCGTTGTGAGTGGCAGGTGGTAACACGTGATGGCTTCGTTTTAGGCCTTCAGCGTGTGACGAGTCGCCAGTTCGATGCAAGTGGAGCTGATTCTGATGTGAATAAAACGAGCGGGGGGAACGGGAGGGGCGTTTCTCGAGGGCCGGTGCTGCTACAGCATGGGCTGTTCCTGGTTCGTCCTGAAGAATCAGGAGTAGATGAATGTTACCACACCTTGCCTTTGCACGTCCTTGCCTTTTCCACATGCCCTCACCTTGCCTTTGCACGTCCCCTTATCACCTCACCACAAATCTCCTCTCTCCATCACACACACATCATCCGCATCACGTTCACACTCACGGTGCGCTTCCCTCCCCCTCCTCTCCACCAAACCAGTGCATGCTCCATCAGTCTCTCATCCTAGCTGCGTAATTCCCATCCAACATATGTTGAGGCGCCTCAGAAGTTAGGTGTTTACCACATACCATCACTTCTTTCCCCACCCACCCCACTTGCCAGGGAGCCGAGAGCTGGGTTGTGGGCCCTCCCGGCATCTCCCTGCCGTTCCTGCTTGCCAGGCTCGGGTTCGAGGTGTGGCTCGGCAACAGCAGGTGCGGGCCGTGGAGCTACGGACACACAGATGGCAGCCCAAGGATAAGGTGGGATGAGAAGAGGGGGGAAGGGCGTGGAAAGGAGGGCAGGGAGGAGAGGTTCAATGTTTGAGGCGCCGCAACAGCGGGCCTCGAGTTGAGAGCCCTGCGAGTTGAGAGCCCTGCGAGTTGAGAGCCCTGCGAGTTGAGAGCCCTGCGAGTTGAGAACTTCGTAATAGGCATGGTCTCAGCCCATGCCATTGCACTCCTTGCACGCCCCCCCTCATTCCATGCAGGAGTACTGGGAGTGGACGTGGGTAGACATGGCACGCCATGACCTGCCAGTTCAGTTACCTGACCTGCCATCTCATGCCATCTCATGCCATTTTTTGTGCACGCCGCACACATGCGCGCCCCCTTTCATTCTATGTGTGCAGGAATACTGGGAGTGGACGTGGGCGGACATGGCACGCCACGACCTGCCAGCGCAGATAGACCACATCCTGGCAGCCTCTCACACGGGAGCGAGGCAGGTGTTCTACGTGGGCCACTCGCAGGTGCGTCCCTTGCCCCTTGCAGGTGCGTCCCTTGCCCCTTGCAGGTGCGTCCCTTGCCCCTTGCAGGTGCGTCCCTTGCTCCTTGCAGTGTGCGTCCCTTCCCTTGCTCCTTGCAGGTGCGTCCCTTGCTCCTTGCAGGTGCGTCCCCTTGCTCCTTGCAGGTGCGTCCCTTCCCTTGCTCCTTGCAGGTGCGTCCCTTGCTCCTTGCAGGTGCGTCCCTTGCTCCTTGCAGGTGCGCCGTGTGCGATTGGAAGGAGGTGACTTATGAGTTGACTCAAGAGTCGCATCGACTACACGGGGGGGGATGTTCTACGTGGGGCACTCACAGGTGCGTGCATCTCCTTTCCAGTTCCACCCACCTTCCTCACGCTGCTGTGCCACCGTATGCCGTTGTGCTGCCGTGTGACTGGTCCTCTGTGCTGGTGTGCTTCTGTGCACCAGCACATCGCCACTTCATGGTTTTTGAGAATTCACAATAACCTGCTTCTGTGCACCCGCACATTGCCACTTCATGCCCACTTCATGCCCACTTCATTGCCATGTTTCTTGCCTCTCTCTTCTTCATTCTCCTCACCCCGTCAAGTTTTGACACGCCTCAAACTTGCTGTGCCACCGTGTGCTGTTGTGTTGCTGTGTGACTGGTCCTCTGAGCTGGTGTGCTTCTGTGCTTGTCATGTTTCTCACTTCTCTCTTCTTCGTTCTCCTCACCATGTCACTTCCTGCCCGATCACCGTCCACTCCATTCTTCATTCCTCTTGCTTCTTTCCCGTTCTTCCCCTTCTTCCCCCTTCTTTCCCCACCGTTCCTTCTCTCTTCTCCTCTCAGGGCACGCTCACCTTCCTCTCCGCCCTCACTGCGGGTTACCTGCCACCCGCCACCATCGCTGCTGCGTTCCTTCTCGCCCCTGTTACCTCCCTGGCACACCTCTCTTCACCCATCGCCCACGAGGCAGCCAAGCTTGATTTAGATCGGGTAAGCAGTTCAAACCTTCAGAACTATACTAAATTGACACCTCACTTTTGTGATTGAAACCTCTTGGATTCCAGTATTCATTCTTTTCTCCCTCGGGCATACCCAGGTGTCACCCACATTCAATTCTCGTACTCTTGTACCCACATCTCAGCTCATACTTTCGTACCTCACAAAAAGGTCATCTGCATGCATCATGTCTCTTCCACCCTCTATGCCAACACTGGAGCGCTTCCACACTCTCTCCTCTCCCCGCTGCTCCTCATCTATCCTCTCCCCGCTGCTCCTCATCTCTCCTCCCTCGTCAGCTCTCCCTTCTCCTCGCCCCTCTACGTCGCCCTTCTCTCGCCGTTCTCCTTCTCCCTCCCCCTCTCCGCCCCTCTCTCCTCCCCCTCTCTTCCATCTCCTCCAGCTGGTGAGAGCAACGCGCCTGCACGAGTTCAGCCTGCGCAAGTGAGTGCTGCGAGGGGAGTGCTGCGAGGGGAGTGCTGCGAGGGGAGTGCTGCGAGGGGAGTGCTGCAAGGGGAGTGCTGCAAGGGGAGTGCTGCATGCACCTCTCCACGTGGCACCTCTCCACGTGGCACCTCTCCACATGGCACTCCTCCATGTGCAACTCACTTAGCAGCGCGCGACCTCGCATGCCCCTCTTGTGCCTCCCCTTCTTGTGGGCAGTGCGATGGTTGAGCTGGTGGTTGCGCCTCACATGACTGGTTGTTGCTGTCACTGTGCCACTCTCCCATGACCTCTTATCATGGACCTCTCAATGTGCGCCACTCTACGTGCCTGTGACTGTGGGCAGTGCCCTGGGCGAGCTGGTGGTTGCCAGTGCCTGCGCCTCTCCTCGTATCAACTGCTCCTCCCTGCTCTCCGCATTCACAGGCATGCACCCCACCACCTCACCACCACCCCATTAACTCACCACCTCGCCACCACCTCACCACCACCCCATTAACTCACCACCTCGCCACCCCACCACCTCACGTCCTGAGCAGCTGAGTACTGGTGTCATCATATCCACGCCTCTTGCTTTCGTTGCATGATTTTGTTCACATGGCAAAGTCGCTTTAGATTTCAGATTTGAAGAATATGAAGTTTCGAAACTGTCTCAGTTGCTCAAGATATTCGTCTTTGTTGCTTTGAAATCGTTGCTCTGTTCAAAGACCATACAGTCTTCCTTCAACAAACTCTGCTGTTTCTTTTTCCAACAATACCAGTTTCAGCTCGTTGAGTGACCTTCCTCTTCAGTTTGTTGCACTGACCTTCTTCTCTCCATTGCACTGACCTTCCGTTTCTGTCCAATTGCACTCACCCTTCCACGCACAGGTCCCAACTGCTGCATTGACATCCAGCACTTTGCCAAGCTTGTTCCATGGTTCCCTCTCGCATCATTGGTAACCTCGTTCCAGTTACATTCTTCTTTCCAATGCACTCGCCTTCACTGCACAGGCCCCAACTGCTGCATTGACATTCGATACTTTGCCAAGCTTGTTCCCTGGTTCCCTCTTGCATCCTCTGTCAAGAACATGGCGCATTTCGGCCAGAGTAAGCACCGGCGCATGGCTTCTTTTTATTTTCTTTCCTTTCACATGCACGCAGTGTACTTTCTTTAGATGCCTTTGTGTCAGAATCTTCTCAATTTCAAGTTACCGCTCCTTTACTCAAAGTGCCTTCCTGACAACCCCATGTTCCCATCAGAGTCTTTTCACTATCTGAACCCTGATCCTCTCTATACATCCTTCCTGCAGATTCGTTTTTCCTGATTCCATAATTTGCTGCTTGTTTTTCTTCTTCCTCATTACCCTGTGTCCAATCTCTCACCTGATTCTTTCCTTGCCAGTGGTTCGCTCGGGAGAGTGGAAGCAGTTTGACTACGGATTCATTAAGAACTGGCTGCGATACCACCAAAGCACACCGCCGTTCTTTCGTGCCTCTGATTTCCCCTCTACTACACGACTCGCTATAGCGTATGGTGGCAGAGACTCCCTAGCAGTGCCTGCTGACGTGGAATGGCTCATTTCCAAGCTGGCACGACGACCTGAGGTGCTCTACATTCCACATTATGCACACCTGGATTTCCTGTTCGCCACTTCTGTTGTTATGGATGTGTACTCTCAAATCGTGAGATTCTTTACAGAGTATCAGCTGGACAGAGCGTTTGAATAAAGATTGGGTTTCTTCATCCATATTGAAGGGCTTGTGGGTTGCGTGCGGAGCGTGCCTCCATTTGTAATGCACAGCAAGTATTGTAAATTAAGGGTTCAAACAAACTCATCACGCTCAACTTCAGGAGCTTGGGATGCAAAATTCATTCTTGATCTGAGAAAGGTCAACGCTAACTTGATTGTCCCCAAGTTCAAGTACGAGGGGCTCAGCCGTGTCACTGACCTGGCGCGCGTTGGGGACTGGATGTTCTCCATTGACCTCAAATCCGGTTACCATCACATCGACATCCACCCATCGTGCTGGAAGTTCCTTGGCTTCGAATTCGATAGGCGCACATACGCATTTCGTTCACTACCATTCGGCCTCGCGACGGCTCCATTCGTCTTTACACAACTCATCAAGCAACTAGCTCGGCGTTGGCGAGAACAAGGCATCCGAGTCGTACCTTACTTGGATGACATCTTATTCCTCTGCCAGTCGAAAGCCGATGCGCAAGCAATCTGCCAGCAGGTGATATTGGACCTCAAAGAGGCAGGCCTTGTGATAAACGCGAAGAAATCACAACTGTCACCATCGCAACATCTCCGATTCCTGGGCGTAGAACTGGAGACCGACACCGGCCGATTCTCCATCGGTCCCGACCGACGAGCCTCACTACATGCAACCATCCGGAACCTCCTGAGCGCAAGCAGGGCATGCCGACCAGCCCCGGTCCGCCACGTGGCCAGAATCACTGGCATGCTTGCATCGATGGGTGTCGCACTTGGCGCGACCGCTCGCGCATTCAGCCACGCTATGTTACAAGTGATCAACGAAGCACCGTCATGGAAAAGCAGCGTGGTTATCCCCCCATCTGCAGCAGAGGAGCTCCAATTTTGGCTCGAGGAATTTGACCGTTTCAACGGCGCACCTTTTCACGTCAGGAACAGCTACGACGCAGTAATCCATGTGGATGCCAGCTCTCATGGATGGGGCGCCACTCTGACCACATTTCCGGGCGGACTCGAAGAAGCTAGCGCAACCATGTCAGAGCCGCTACAAGGAACGTCCAGCACGCGACGCGAGATCGAAGGCGTCCTTTGGGCGCTCCAAACATACGCGACCAACATCAAGCAAAAACACGTTCTCGTGCGGGTGGACAACCAGGGCGTGTTCTTCATCCTTCGAAAAGGCGGCTCTCACAGCCCCGAACATGCATGGAGCTTGGCACGCGCTTGATCATCGAATGGATTCCGCGCGAGCTCAATACACACGCCGACGAACTTTCAAAAATGGTCGACCACGACGATTACGCGCTGGAAACGCCGTGGTTCCGCATCTTGGAACGTCGTTGGGGGCCCCACTCCATCGACCTCTTCGCAAACTCCCGCAACACCCAACTGCCGCGCTTCTGCACAAAGATTCCCCACCCAGAAGCTATCGCAGTTGATGCGTTCTCGATCGCGTGGACACCCGAAAACAACTTCGCCTTCCCCCCGCTCCAACTGGTCCCAGCCGTCCTCCATCACGCACAACGCACCCATGCATCACTCACACTGATAGTTCCGCACTGGCCAGGCGCAAGCTGGTGGCCACTTTTGCAACCCTCCCCATGCACTTGGGCTCCACACATCCACGCGCACATCCCTCTGACACACGGAAGCCAATGCCTAGACGCAGGGTCCCATTCCAATGCTTTCTCAGGCATGGGACTACCGCACAGCCCAATTATTGCACTGAGAATGGCATTTGACTAATTCAAAACATCAACGCCCTGTGTTCAGATTTGCTCCCAAAGTTACACGACCAAATGATCAACATGCTCGCGCAATCTCGCGCCGATTCTACGATCCGGACATACGAACCATACTGGGCCAAGTTTCGAGCCTTATGCACAAAAGTGAACCTCCCATTTCTTCCGGCATCCGACATGACCCTCGCGCTCTACCTGGTACACGCAATCCGACGCAAAGCCACCCTGTCCGTAGTGCAGCTGACGTGCTTGGCGGTCAGCTTCGCTCATCGCATGACCGGGAGCAAATGCCCGACAACCGGACCGTTCACCACCCAAGTCCGTGACTGTGCAAAACGACACTGCCCTCGCCCTACTCGTATGAAGGAACCCGTATCGATCCAACAAGTCCGGGACATGGCCGCGAGTTACTTGCAGTCCGACGATCCAGCGACGTTTCAGAAAGGGTTGATCCCCATCCTCATGTACTCAGGATTCCTGCGATATTCGGACCTGGCAGCCATAAAATGGCAAGACATCCAATTCGACGACGAGGTCATGTGGATTCTCATACCACACTCCAAGACCGATCAGGCTGGTCATGGCACTTGGATTCCCATTGCAGCAACGACAGACCCTTGTTGCCCAGTGTGCTGCACCCGACGCTTCATCCAACTAGCCGGCTATGGCCCACAGTCAGAGGGACCATTGATTCGGGTCTTCGGCCACGCTTCAACCAGCGAGGGCCAAGCAAGGCCACCCTCATACACCACGATCCGGAACTGGTGCAAGGAAGCCTTCGCAAAATTGGGCCTTGGAGACCTGCAGCTCGGCACACATTCTTTCCGAAAAGGTGCAGCCACAGTAGCAGCCAACACGGGCGTGCCAGACAGGGTCTTCAAACGGCTGGGCAGATGGCGAAGCGACTCAGCAAAGGAAATGTATGTTACACCATACGTCGAGCCTCTTATCGAAGCCTCCCGTAACCTACAAGACCTGACGCATGCAGCGTCGTCGGCACAACACTCAGAGGCACTCGTACGCAACCGGAGGCCCCCGCTGCCCATGTCTCAGAGACCCCATTTGTAATGAGAACGATGCCAATTGATAAGAATAAGAAAGCAAGCTTTCTCAATATTATAGGGTTCAAACAAACTCATCACGCTTAACTTTAGGAGCTTGGGATGCAAAATTCAAACAGAACATGGGTGGTTGGGTATGGTGCCAATAACGTACGCAGGTACAAATAACTCCAGATGTTAGCAAAGATGGCATCTGATGAGCGTGTTGGGCATGGGCACAAGTGGAAATCTGCATGAATGAGTAACACAACAGATGCTCATATGTACAGGAACTAAATAACGGTACTAGCATCATCGGCTGAAGAATCCGTCATGACATGCTGCAAGCAACATGAGCAGGTGAGTTTGGTTGCAGACATACTCAACTGCAACCAGCAAGCACCATGCGCTGATGGATTCAGCATGGGTTACTGCACTCACCAGGAGCAACTGAAAATGCCACGAGATCATCGTGAAGTGAAGAACTCGGAATGAAATGCTGATGGGATCATCAGCTGAAGAGACTGCCGTGAGATGCTGAAGAGGAGGCAGTAATGAATGCACCATCAGCTGGTGAAGGTGCCATGAAATGCTGATCTGATAGCATCATGAGCAGGTGAACCTGGAATAGGTACTGGAACCATCAGGCGTTGATTGAACTGGCATGAGCTGCTGCTGCAAGTTAACATCAGAAGCTGGTCACATTAGAACAACATACGGATAGGTTTGTGACTTGATGAAATTGGCAAGGGCTGGAAAGCATGATGAGCAGATGAATTTGGCACGAGATACTGAATGAAATCATATTGTTCTTAAGAAACATATGTAAGCAAGATGTGCCTCCTGAAAGCGAGGAATGAGAGCATATGTAATGAAAACAATATTATCAGGCTCCACGACATATGCTTTCAGGTATCCCTCTACATGATTTCCAAGCATCAGATTTGAAAGAGCAATCAGGGATGAGAGCAGAGCATTA